CCCCGCCGCTGGGAGACGACGGCGGTCGGTGTTCTGCGGAGCCCGGCTGAATTAAGGAGGCGTAACACGCGCACCGCCGTTGGACTAGATGGCCTCTAGGGGTCCCTTCCAGCCCAAAACATTCTATGATTCCTCCTGGAAATGCAATGGTGAATGGAATGGACTGCCGCGAGCAGTCACGGGGAGGGTAAGCAGCCGCCGCGGAATGGCCCCCGGCGGTGTCGTCGCTTGCTCGTCCGTTGGAGAAGTGAAGACATTGCCACCATACGGCTTGCGTGTCTCAGCGAACTAACCGCCCCGGTCGAAGGAGCTGATGCTCAGAGCAAGTTACGGAAACGCAAATTACAGGAAGTGGGAAGGCCTGGGGCAGGCTGGGAAGTGGAGACGTACCGGGCTTCCGGAAGAAGGAGGACTTCCACTCCCGTTGTCACCAAATTACGCTTCTCCATGAATTCCGTGGCCTGTGTATTTCCTGAACGTTGCTTGCGTTTGCTCAGCCTCTTCCTCTTGCAGCTACCTCCTGTTTCTGCCTGCCCTCCTCATTACCTAATTACTGCCTACTTTAGGAGGGTCTCTTCCTACTGCTCCTTTGCGCCCGTTACATATGGAAAAGATGTGTGCTTAACTCGCCTCATGAGATGGTCCTCATAAGAACTCACCTTCCAGGCTTCCGTAGCAAAATGTGCACAAGTAGACAGATTTTGAATGGAGGTAAACAGTAGAGGCTTTCCAAAATTACTTACGGTACCTTTAAGTGCTTTGCATCGGCTCTTGGAAGTTACCTTTGCCTTCCCCTATAGGACCGCAGACAGTCACCACCTGGATCCATGGTGTCATGGGGGTCCATGCTTCTTCGGTGGTGGGTGATCACATCTGCAGGGTCGCTGGTCACGCAGGGTCTTTGGTGGTCTTGCAGGGTGCTCAATAATTGCGCAGAGTTTTCGGGTGTCTTCCACGAGGCCAGTGATTGTGCAGGGTGTTCTGTGGGCTATGTGACCATGGGGTCAGTGATCACACACAGGGTCTGAGATGGTGGCCTTTTATAGGCTGCGTGCCTAAGGCACATGCTTGCGCAGGCTGCCCTCAGTGACAACTTCACGCTAGCCCCGGCAACAGCTTCACGCCTGTGCCGTGCTTGCCCAGAAAGAGAGAAAGCAGTGATAGGGAAGGAAGGCAGGAAGGAAGGAAGGAAAGATAGGAAATTAAGCAAGAGTTCGGAACAGAAGAGTGCAGACAGTCACCACCTGGATCCATGGTGTCATGGGGGCTCATGCTTCTTCGGTGGTGGGTGATCACATCTGCAGGGTCGCTGGTCACGCAGGGTCTTTGGTGGTCTTGCAGGGTGCTCAATAATTGCGCAGAGTTTTCGGGTGTCTTCCACGAGGCCAGTGATTGTGCAGGGTGTTCTGTGGGCTATGTGACCATGGGGTCAGTGATCACACACAGGGTCTGAGATGGTGGCCTTTTATAGGCTGCGTGCCTAAGGCACATGCTTGCGCAGGCTGCCCTCAGTGACAACTTCACGCTAGCCCCGGCAACAGCTTCACGCCTGTGCCGTGCTTGCCCAGGGCAATGGCGCGCATCTCCTGTCCGAGCCCCCTTCCTGTGCCTGGGGTCTCAACCATGTGCACACGCTCCCAGCGGTTGCTGGCACTGGACAGAGCATCACTAGGGCCTTGCCACCATCCTTGTGGCTGTGGAGGTGTGGGGGGGAGGGGAGGGGGTGGCAGCTCGCACAACTGCCCTGCAGGGTCCTGTTAGCTTCATGTGGGCAAGCTTTGAGACATATGTCCAGCCAGTCTGTCCCTCACACCACCCCATGGTTCAAAGTTTGCTTCTTCAGGATCCATGGTTTGTTACAAAAGAGTAATATGAAAGGTCAGAAAAGAGCATTTAGACAATTTGCAATATTGGTTGATTGATAGAATCATAGAATTGCTTTGGTTGGAAAAGAACTTTAAAATGTACAGCACGAACTTGTTTG